TCCTGGCACACCACACCCTCAGTTCGGTAAAATGCACTCTTGCGAAAGCGCAAGGAACAAATAGCATTCACAACTTTTAGCCAAAAGGAGCAAAATATATCGCGAATGCAGCAATTCTCCTTTATTTTGATGGAGGACAATAAATTCGGTAAATCGGGACATTGTTTGCTGAACACGAGGGCACCTCTTTACTACCGCCTAATTAATTCGGGAGGACTTAGGGTGTTGCACTATAAAATAGTAGTATTTTACGGTCATTCTGGACCAGTGAGTTGTGTCTAAGCGTCTTGCTTGTGTGTTGTGCATGCTTTCGATTAGAAATCGAAATCTAGATACGCGGACCCAAAATTACCATCAAGGTGCTAATTTTAACTAAGTTGCAAACCAGAGCCAATCTTTTACTAAATCGCCTGGAGGTCAATGACCTAGGGCGTGTTTACGATAGCTGTTTGAACTCTCAACATGTGATGCCCTATTGGAGGGTTGAGGAAATGTGTGATAGAATTCGGAGTTTGTGGCGCTTGTCGTTTGTGTTTGCAATGGCACTAACGAGCCTTGCCAACATCCTCAACCTCATAAGTTTTGTTTCTTCATACTGGATTGTATCCATAAATAAGGAGAATTTTGGTTTTGTTCGTCTAGGTTTATGGGAAGTGTGTTTCGACAACTTTATATTTGCCGGAGACTACATATCAAAAGCTTACGACGGTTGCTGGTACGTATTTAGGCAGGAGTTTAAGTACATTCGGTTTTGGATTAATCCTCGTAAGTGGTCGTATTTTAGGAGCTTCAAATGATTTAGCGTGGTTTATATTTGTGCAAGTAGCATCCATTGTGAACATCGTGTTCAGTCTTGGGAGTCTTTTGCTCATCTTTCAAAACGCTGCAGGGATAGAAACGAAATTCTGCAGGTTGTCAAATGCCCCAATCATATTCCTTCAGTCAGTAGTGGGTAAGATCTTCGATGGTCAAAGAAATGTGTTTTCCTTCAGTTGCCTGTCTGACAGTCATCACTATAATGATGGGACTAATGTCCAAGGACCGAATGTGGCTGCCCTTCTCAGACCGCAATACAGTTGGATGGGGACTAGGTTTTGCTGCAACCGGTGGAATACTCATGCTGCTCAGCATCTTTTGCCTCATTGTCGACCAGGTAGCTCACTATAGTGAACAGATATACTACAAGCTTTTGGAGGAGGGTGGTTTTCTTTCCACGCAACCAATTCCGCCTGACTTTACCTCTGGTGTTGGCGAAATGTCCACTCGAAAGTTGCCAATCGGTGCCTCTGCAGTCGGCACGACTTCGGAATCGAAGCTGGGTGGTGTTCCTTCACTCTTCTTAACTGCCTCGCTGCCATCTGTGGCCGGCAGTAGAGAGAGTGGAGGTAGACATGGAGGGACAGGACCAGCAGCTCGAATTTCTTCAGTTCTAGGAAGCGCAAAGAACGCTCTCCTAACACACTACGGCGAGGCACGAACCACAATTCCTGGGATGTCCTTGAGATCCGAGGTACCAGCAACCTCGGGCGCCTTAGCGTCTGCAAAGCTGAGACAGGATCTACAAACTGAAAGATCTACGAGGCTTGCGTCGACTGCAGCAGCGGTGGGTGCGCCATCATCAACTTACTCAACGCGCTCGCCTAGTCTCGTGGGAATCGGCGGAAAACAGGAAAAACCAGTTATCGTCTATGGTACATCACAAGGCAACATTCTAAAGGATTCCGCTGTTTAGATTTATATATTTTAGAGCTGAATACATTCCAAATGGACCTC